CCCAGTTTGATCATCCCAGTGAAATAATTCACCCTGCACTGTTGTCTCACTTGTTTCTAGGAAGCAAACGAGAGCTTGACACTGGCGCTGGAGTAACCCTCATCACTCCCAATACTCTGCAAGCTGCTGTGATCATCAATGTCACTGATGCTGGTTGTGCTGATATTGTCCACTTCTCCATGGGAGAACTCTGTGCTTTCAACGTCCACTTCAATCTCTTCTGGAAAGGGAAATGAGAGAAATGCACACAGGTTAGCATTACACACCCAACTGCTCCCTTCGTGCCAGTGAGCTCCTGGGGCTCCCCCAACGCAGGGAATGAAGTGGTCATCTGGCAGGTTCGCCCTGGAATGGGATGGGCTGGGGTCATGATTTATAAAAAGACTAATACCGGGAGGTATTAGTATTATTTTTATAAATCATTGGAGGTTTTTGTAGGGATTTAGCAAAGGGGTTTCACTCCTCCACATGCCAGCCACACTGTCAGCGTAGTTGAGCCACCCCACACCCCAAGCTTGTCCCACTACCTCTTTCTTTGGACCTCTAATACTCCAGTGTTAGAAAAAAAGAAGGAAGAGATAAAATTGAGTGCTAGAGAGAAAATGGAGCATGAAGTTAACCCTAAACATGCTAGTGCTTGACACTATATTGCCAAAGCCAGGACCACACACAATTACAATGCATTACCATGGGGATCTGGGTTACTCTTACACATGCTCAGTGGATTTTGGAACAGACATCTTGTTTTTAAGAAATATTTAAAAAGCAAAGATCTAATTACGCAGGTGTCTTCGTTCCCATATTGTTCAGGAATTTTCCAAAGGATTTTGTTTTAAACTACAGACTCACACCCAAGCTATCCATCATCTTCTGGTCTGTCAGTAAATATCAAACCATCTATTGCGCCTAATGTTCTGTCCACTGCAGGGATATTTTTAAAAAGGAAGTTATCTTAATTTAGTTAGCCATTCAGATATATCTAGCCAGTTTTGACTGAAAAGGTGAACTCAATGGGAAGTTTGGTAGGGGGGCTGGGGGGTAGGTGTGTGAAACATTGGTTCCAGTCTTACTAACATCTTCTTACATTTTCCTCTTTGTGATACCAAGAGATTCAGCAGATCAAAAATCACAATGAGCATCTCAACTTTACCATCTCTTTCAATGCCATGGAAATGAGATCAAGTTGACAGCAAGAACAATTCTTCCAGACTTAGAACTCATGCAAAATACTAAACACTCCATATGTATGTGTGTGTATGTGCCTGTGTGTGAGCAGAATCATCAACCTCAACACCAAAGGCCATAAGAAGGGGAAGCTGAGAGATAAAAAATGGATGAATCTCATTCTCCCACTTAAGAGTCCTGGCAATTCCGTGCTGGTTCAGCAACACCCACCTCGCTCCGAGTCCGAGTGATCCGAGGAAATGGTAGATCCAATGCTGTCCATTCGTATTCGCTCTATCTCCTGAGGACCCTGTAGTTGTTCCAGTCTTCTCTTTAGGAATCTTTGTTCTCGTTCCAGGTTCTCAAGCTGGTGTTGGCTTCTCCTTTCAGCCTCTTCAAGTTTCTGACATGACCAAATATAATTCAGTAATTGCTTTTATCCTTTTTTCCTTCCCTCCCACCTCCACTGCCCTGTCACCTGCCTTGCTTAGACCTTCCTTGAAATCCTCGAAAGGATTCAAGCTGTAAGTGCCCTGAACCAAGCTGCCTCACAGTCTCCAAGCACAATGCCTTCTCCCCACATCTTTCCACCTCTCAGGTCCTGATAAATCATACCCATTAGTACAAAGAGTATCTGAGGACTGAGCCTCTCCAGGGGACACGCTGTGCACTGCAGCAGTCTGTGGGTCATTCCACCCGGGATCGGACACCTGCATTACCGCCTCTGCCCACGGCGGGGCCTCGCACCCCCAAACCGATCCACTCCAGGGTTTGTCACCAGCTGCTCCAACATAAAAACGTGGCCAGGGAGTTCTGTGTTCCTTACTGCATGGTTTAGAAGGATTTCTCAGAAACAGTTTTCTATTCAGTGAGTGATTTACATAACCTACTACAGATTTCTTTGATCACAGCTGGGAAATCTACCAGGGTACTGTTCTTTGTTTCCTACGACAAGCACATTGCATAAGGAGGAGTCATTTCAGGCTAACTGTCCCTTTGGCAGCACTTTTCCTCCTTCATCACCCATCTTCCCTCTCTATATCCTGACCTGCAACAAAGTATTTCAGCCTCTCCCAGATACTGACAATGCTACCTTTTCTTTTCACATCTCACTTTGCCAAAAGTGGAGCTGGAAGAGCTAGGCTAGCTGGAAGGTTCACACATGGAACTCCAGCAAACCAAACCTGTCTCACACTCTTGTGGTTTGTGCTAATGCTTTGGCAGTGGAAATTCAGTAGCACACCAGAAAAAAAAAGCTGCATTTCCCATCAAAATGCAGTCACTCAGCACTAGGTATGTTTTTCTTTAAAGAGATACAGCTGTCAACAAACGATCACAATACAGAACAAGATCCTTGCTCTTCAAATCCACCATTTTTGTAGTTAAGGAGTTCATTATGGACTCTTCCAACAATGTGGCTTGTGGCAATGATAAATGGCTAACCAAGGGGGCAAGGCTTGCTTGCTCTTTTTATTTATTTGTTTATTTTTTAATAGTGTCACGTTTCCTTCAACGGAGTTAGCTCTAGGCAGAGAGCCCACACTGAAAGCAGCAGGGAAAGGCAGCTCTTACCTTGATATGTGCTTTGGCTTTGTTGAGCAGCCCAAGCGTGGTGTGCCGGGTGCAGTCTGGTCCGAGCGGTATCAGAACTTTTAAGCGTTCTAGACACAGGCGGAGGTGAGCTCGGCTGCAAGGGGAGAACAGGACAATCAGAGCCACGCTTTCTGCAAGGGAATGTAATTTCTTTCTCTTCTGCCCCTCTATGAGGCAGTTTTCAGGCTACCCAGTTTCCACGCATCACAAGATTCCCCTCAGGTACCAGCACAGACTGCTGCTGAACTATTTACGCCTCAAACATCAGCTGCTCACCAATACTTTCATTATTGCTAACCTCTGACAGACACTGTTTATTTTCTTGCTGTCTGAAAAGATAATCTGACCCATCTGGATGAACTTTGTGGAGGGGCAAAAGCACATAGGAAAATGGTACAAGTACTTTATAGATTTCCACTCTCTCTGAGCCATTTGCTGTCTGATTTGCTGAGAACTTTTGTGAAAGCAGTTTTGAATGACTGCTACCCCCTGCATGCTTTGTTCATTGCTACCTCATAGACATTTGCTATGAACTGACCTGAATACCTTCTTTTTGCATGAAATTAAGATCATCAATGAAAAAATGGTCAATTCCAAACAGTGAAACAATCCCTGGTGGCAATTCAAGGAGCGAGAGGCATAGTAGTTCCCAAGAACCGCACTCTTACTCCTTCCAGGGCCCAGGTCTGAAATGCTGCTAGGGGTGCAAGGTCTGTGGGAATGAGAGAACCCAAGACCTTCCCCTGGGCAGACTTCTGACCTTGGCTCACATCTACAAAGACAGGCTCCAGCACAACAGCACTGCTGGTGATATGATCCATTTTCTGCAGAATATGGCAACATGTTCTGGGGTAAATGGTTCAGGCAGCAGTGACAACACACATCGTCCTCAGGCTGCAGAGGAAAACTGTTCCCACTGTCTCCTCCTCTAGTTCACATATGCAGGGATGAACAGCAGATTTATGGAAAACTATCGAGTGTGGGTTGCCTTTTTCCCCTCCCTCTCTCTTTCCCAGACATTAATGATTTATGTCCAAAGTTGTCATCCCAATCAATAACACAATGACATCAGCTTTACCATTCACATGCAAGAAACACCAGTGCAAAAGACTCTTGAAAGCCTATCCCAGCCCCTGCTCAGGCACAAAGAAACTGAACCTTAGCCTGATCCATCTCAATGCAGGGGAAGGAAAAAAAAAAAAGGAAAGAAGAAAAGAGCATGGACAGTTCATTTCCATTTGTTTTTCAAATGCACTATTGCACCCAGTTTGAAAGGGGTGGGGGAGAGGAGTCTGTAATCAGGCAATTATGTCAGTGACAAGCAAGGATGATTAAGGGTGGAAGGGTCAGGGGTTTTGCTGATGAACTGTCAGCACAGGGGAGTGTTCACTGGCCGTGCTTTAGATGTGAGCTCCTCACAGTTTCTACCATAAATCTCTTTACGAAGGGTTCATCATTCTGTTTCAATAACAGTCACAGGGCTGCATATTACCAGCAAGAGCCCTGAAGAAAGCATGTTTTCCATTAAACATTAACAAATACAGGGGTGGGGAAAGGGAAATCATAATCCAAAAATCAAACTGAAAGAACAGTAATCACATCAATCTAATCTCTTACTTCTCAAGTTGTTCTAGGGCAAACCCCACTGTCATTAAACCGATATGGTTGACATGGAGGGATTTTTTTCTACCTGGAAGCCAGTATTCAACACAGAGCTTGGTCAGAAGTGTGCACCCACTACACGTGTTTGCCCAGTGTCCCATGATGACCAAAAGGGTAAGCAATGAAAAAGTGTTGCTGGTTCACACTGGCACTACAGTTTGTGTCATCCCTTGGGAGACTGGATGCTGACTTCTTGTGCAGAAATGAAGAGGAGCAGGATCTTGTGGTCAAAGACATTCTGGGGTTTGAAACCAATTTTTGGATATGGCACAGACTTCCTGAATGGCCACACAGGCAAGTCACTGAGTCAGAGCTGTCAGAGCACAGGCATCAAGCTACAGCATGTGTCTCCTCATAGCACAAGTAGGAGCTCCAGCCACACACTTCACCTACAGATCAGCCCAAGTTAAAAACACAGATCGAGCAGAGCTCAGATCTGGGGGCTCCACCTAACAGCAGACTGCTACACAGCATCTGCTACACGCAGGTACCACAGACCTGGAGGCAGCTCCCAGCCCATGGTGAAAATCAAATTATTTGTGCAACAGGAAAAAAAAGTTTGGGGAATCAACATCCAATCAGTGACAAAGACAACATAGTCTACTCTTGAATGCAGAGAGAAATGGACAACACATGTACAACCGGAGCTTTGGGCTGATTCTCAGCACTTTGTTTTACCAGGAACTGGGAAGGTGCTGCACCAGGAACTGCAATTCCTGGAACCAGTGATCAGCTTCAGACAGAAGCAAGCACTGGCTGGATTGCTGAGACAGCGATCAAAAGGGTGGCACTGATCTGTCACGTCAAAAGCTGGGTTATATGCAGACTGAACAAGATCAACCCTGTTAAGCACCTGAAAGCTACAGGCAAAGGTCCAGCCATGTAATAAAACCTCAGACACTTGAAAATCTTTCCATTGTGCCCCAGGACCAAGGTGGAGTGAAGAAGGTTACTGCTTGTCCCAGGCTCATGCAGACCATTTTCAGAGAAGCCACTCCTGCACCTGGCTCTGCTGGCTGCTGGCCAAAGGCTGTGGCTTGCAGCAGGGGTGATGGCCTGTGCCAGCGCACCAGGCATCAGGAGGGGCCACCTGCCTGGGACACGAGTGTGGTATGAGCTGATAAGCTCACAACGGCTCGGGCTGGAAGCACACTGCAGGGGCAGGTGGTGCTGGCGGAGCTAAGACAGGTCTCAAAGAAGTCTGACCAAAGGCGTTACTTCTGTGCTGCCGCTGAATTTTCCCCCTATTTTGCACTCCAAGTTGAGCCACACTGGGATGGGAAGGAGCAGCCAAGCCTGTAAATTGTCCTGGTATGTGAGCACATTGCTTTCCTTCAGAGAAGGAAACTGAACAACTTCCCCAGCTGTTACCCCTCTGCAGCATTCAATACCTTCCTTACTTTTTTATTTTTAAAATCTAACCCAATCACAGTCCCTGACCTCTCTTAACTTCCAACAGCCCCAGTGGACTATGATGGGTTCTTAAACCACAGAGCACACACTGCAGGTCTGACAGACTGGTGGGTGCATCAGAAATAAAACTCCAGAGCCCGGGGAGCAGATGGAGTCACTGCTCACCGAACTAGATGTTGCACAGAGGGCTATGGTCTAGCTGACAAGATGGTGAGCGGTCAAAGGTTGAACTCGATGGTCTTGAAAGTCTTTTCCAACTAAAATGACTTTGTGATTCTTTGAAAACCATCACAGAAGACTTAGCTAAAAGACCATTTCAGAGAGAAAGCAACTGCAAAGCCATTAATCTTTCTTATCAAGTCCTGCCCCTGAGCAGCTGTAATTCCCCAGGTCAGGCCATGATGTGAGTGTCTTTTCCCCTTGTTTACCTGGATTCTGTTGCAACATGGCTTTGACAATGCTGCAGGCTCTTGTTTTCAATGAAAATACCAGCATTGTGCAGCCTCCAGACAGAGCCAGACGGCTTTCCATGTAAACCACTGGATTATGCCAATATTTGACGCATCTGCCAATATCTAGAAAAACAAGTCTAAAAGCCCATATTGTTATATAACAGAGAAACAAGGCAGGCTTGGTGCAAAGGGCTGCTGCCTCTCGCTCTCTTGATCCTGAGGAAGACAGAGGATGACAGAAGGAGAATTCCAGTTTCAGCAGAGGCTGAAGCTTTTGCATGCTAGCTGCAGGGGAGATGGGAAAAGCTGCAGCCCTTCCTCCTGCCAAAGTGGGAAAAAATCAGGCTCTCGCAGCAGCATACTGAGCACATTGTAGATGCTTGATGTGTTGAAAGAGAAATCTGTGAAAGATTTGAAAGAAAGGGGCTCTCCACTTTCCCAAGAGATGAGCCTGGTCCTCTCTTCCTGCTCAGCTTGATGAGAGGGAAAACTCCTGTTTGAGATTCCCATGCTGGGGGGCATCAGGATGGCCAAAAACTGAGTAAAACACCTGAGAGGTTTCAGAAACCCAGAGCCAAACAAGCCCTGTCCCAAAGAGCTGAGGATCACCCTTTATCTTGTTTCACCTGGCCACTCTGGCTAGGACAGAGCCCCTCTGTTGCTTGTGCTTCCTCCCCTCTGTGCGGCCAGGAAGGGACTAGAAGGAAGTTCCTCTGGGGCGTGGAGGGCAAGCAGGGCAAGGATGCCCTCTCTTCTCTGCCAGGAGCTGCAATGGGCCAGGAGACTGAAGCAGAAGAAGGATGACAAAGCCCAGCAGCCCCACAGCTCTTCCAGCAGATCCATAAGCTGTAGACAGCTGCATGTGGAGGAAGGGAGCGCTGGCCCTTGAAATGGCAGCCCCAGTGCTGCTCACTAGGCACCTGCTGTTCTCCCTGCTTTCCCTTTGTGCCTGTGCAAGAGCTTCTGACTGTATCTGGATTATCTGACTGTATCAGGATTATCTACTTCTACCCCCAGCTCCCCTCCAAGGTCCTCTGTCCTGAGCATGTATCAGGGGAGCCTGGCTCTTGCTCTGTGCAGCCCCCCCTTGCACTTGGCTCTGTCTGGCTGCAGAGGGCTGTAATTTCACAGCCTGCTCTCCTCTCCAGCTCCCAATGACATCACCCACTCTGATTATATAAAGCACAGGGAGGAAGCCTTTATTTATGCGTGCTTTTTGCTCACAGCTTCAGCTGTCTCAGTGTACAACACACATGCAAATCCCTCTGCAGGAACTGGGCTCTCTTTAGCCTGAATCAAAACTGCACTGCAGAAAAAGGTGTGGGTGCAAAAAAAAAAAAGGTCTCTGTTTCCTTCCCCCCCACCACTGAATACATTTTTGAGGAGTTTGGTTAGGAACCAACCTAGCACAACACTCTGCACCACAGCAAGCTGGGCACAAAGCCACCAGCTTCCTCCCTGCTGGGAAGTCCCCAGAGAGCTGAGGGACCTGTGCTGGCAGCTCCAAGCCCTGTGTCTGCTGGTCACAAAGTGGCTACACAGGGGCTGGAAACCTAACCCCCTCACAATGCCCAGCAGGGTCCCTGCAAGGGCCAGCCCAGGGCTGTAAGGCCACTGGCAGTTTCCCTTCCTGGGCCCTGGTGGGCTCAGCCAAGCCCCTGGGCAGCCCCTGACAAGGGGTGCCCCCCACCGCCTGCTCCATCCTCCTCTGGTCAATGCTGCAGAAACGCTGCAGACACGAGCCGTCCCTGAATGTTAACACTGCCAGAGAGACAGCAGCTTCTTTGCCAGAAGTGGTTTGGGATTTGTGCAGGGTCCTTGCCAACTTCCACTACGAGCAGAAGCGATGGAAACTGAGAAAAGAAACTTTCTCTGCTGAGGAGTCAGGCAAACGTGCACACACCCAGCTCTGGAGCAGCAGGTTTACCAGACTCAGCACTATCAACCCCGTCAGACACTGCTGAGAGACTTTGCTGAATCAAGGCCTGAACATCTGCAAAACACACACAAACACACAGACACACACACAAACTCTTCCCATCTTTAAAAGATCAAGCCTCCCTCTCAGCAGGAAATGACCAACTCGCCTCCAGCAGCAGTTCAAAATGCTGAATTCTTAATTTTGTATGTTGAAAGAGGGGAGCATCTGAGGGAAAAGAGAAGCATTTCCCAGATATTTTTGTACTAATGCCTCCAGGTCTATAGGGCTTGAATTCAACAGTGGATTTAAGCATGTGCTCAACATTAGGAATATGCTCAAGTTCCACTGAGGCTAAATCAGACACTGGATCTTTGTGAGATGTTAAAAAAATAGAACCAAACCAAAAGAACCAGAAGAAGGAGGATCCTAACATGGAGAAGGACATTATCATATGTCACCTCTTGCCTCAAAGCCTTTTCAAAGTCGAATCTAATTTAACCCTGAAATTAGAAACCACCAACTTTGTTTGGATTTCAGAGCCTAACAGATTGTCTAAAAAATTCAGGAGGGATCACTGGTTAAAGAAAGCAATTCCTGGAGAAACACATGTGACCCCACATCAATAATTCAATGTACGGGAATGATTTTGAGATAAAAGTAATGAGAAACACATGCAAAAACCACAGGGCAGGGAAAACACGCTTTCCTTCTAAAAGCAATTCACAGGTCAGAGGCTGATTATCTCCAACAGCCATCGCACTTGATGTTTTTTCCTTACTCTTGTCCCTGACCCCCAGCCCAGCCCTCTCAGCGAGGTATCCGCTCCCTGCTTTACCGAGCACCTGTCTCCAGCGAGCCAAGGGGTTTTTCCAGGCGCCTGGCTGCGGGCTGGAGGAGGCAGGAGCGGGCTGACCCCGCCGCCGGTGCTGCAGCGCCTTATGCAGGGCTGCGAGCCCTCCGGCCGCGCCCGGCCCGCCTGCAGCGAGCGCAGCGAGCCCCGCTCGCCCTGGCTGCGCAGGGCACCACGGACACATGGCTCAGAAGGAAATCTGACTCACAGCTAGAAGTTAATATTCTCTACCCGAGCTGCGAAATCGCCCGCAACAAGCCTTGCTTTTGGATTTTAAATCGGGTCTCTCCTCGCGATTCTTTTCGTGTGTTTGCTCCCAGCTGGAAGGGGATACTTGCTCATCTGACCCTGTTTCCAGTCAGTTTCTACCGATGGCTCCCTGGCATGTATTAGTATTCCAAATTATTTGTATTCCAAATTGTAATAAAATCTGTCATGAAAATTAATTGAAAAAAAATCCTTCATATTTTAAAATTTTTAGATGTAAAGATCTACCATTTAAAATAAACAAAGAAATTAAAATTTAGGACCGACAATAAAAAGACTTGACAACATACTATAAATAGGAATTTAAAGGAACAAAAAAGTTCTACAAGCAACATTTCCAACTTTATCTTAACCATGTCAGGTCTGTCTACAAAAGTTAGAGATGAACATGCGCCCAACTGTATTCTCAAATCAAAGGCAAAGGAAAAACAAACTGCAAATTATGAGATCTATGATCCAACAATGGTAAAACAATAATAGAAATAATAAAAAAAAAAACCAAAACCCCAAGGCAATGCAGTTTTTCAAAGTCACGCAAATCAATGTACCTCTGCCTGGTCACAAGCCATGCACCAGGCAGATAAGGGGTGGCACAGGGCATAAGAAAGCAGAGTTGTGATTCAAGGCCGTAAGTGGAAGCAAAATACAAACAGCAACATAGTGATGTACTCCAAAACTGCAGCGTTTTGTCCAAAGGCCACCTCAGAGACAAAACCAAAACCTGGAAAAAACCAAACTCAGGGAAAGGGAGCATCTTTGCCAAGCAACTGAAATACTCAGGAAAAAAATGGTCGATTTTGGGGTTCTCCCCATCTGCAACAGAAGCTGCAAGCCTTAAGCATAAAGCAAGGGTTTTACCCAAACATGCACTGCCCACACTCTCCACTGCACACTTTGACAGTGTCCATGCTACAAACCCTGGCTGTCCCTGAGCCCTGTGTGGCCTTGCACTGCAGTGTGAGTGTATGGCCAAGCACACCTTACACAGAAATTACTTCTATCTTCAACTCTTCTAGATGGGAACACTCATTACTGATGTCAACTTTGGAAGAGTTTCAGGTTCTTGGCAAACAGAAGCTGCAAGACCAACAAACCTTGTGCCAAGTGATGTCTTGCCACCACTGGTCCACTCCAATGGGGATCTTTCTAGCCTACTACTGCAGTCTGGAGAAAGACATGCTCCTCCACCTCCCTCTGCATCACACAGCTGTCAAAATCTCTGCATTTCCTGGGAACCTTCCGGGCATAAAACTGAATATTGTTGAGAGAGCTCTCTTAATTATGTTATGATTTTGAAAAATCAAATTAATTACTTCATGGTTTTCAAAAGGGATGGAGGGAGGGGAAATCAGGCAGCCTCCAATCCTTTGGTGAAATATGGGGGATCTGGCTGAAAGATTTGGACTTCCTGCAGAACAGATGTCTCCTGGGCTGCAGCATGGAGTGGTAACTGACAGTCCTAGCTGTATCTCCCAGTGGCTGATCAGTCTGTTCACACTGTGCAGATGTTAAGTGCAAATCACATTGTTCAGTGACTGCAGGGGTTGGCCTTCATACACTTTGAGTTACATGGACACGTGAGAGAGCATCCACTTCCAGGATTCAAAGCCACAGCACTGCAGACACAGCTGTGAACAGGACACTTCTGAAAACTTAGGAGTCCCACCCTCATCTCAGAGAGCACTTCAGGGAGCAGGACTGCTCTCATCTCACACTGTCTCTGTTACCTTCCTTTTCACTGCCATCCTTCAGCCTGTCCAGGCCTTGTTTCTGTCCTCTTCTCTGACTGTCTTCTGGATTGGAAACTCTTTGGAACAAGTATACAGTTGTCAAATGCACAGACATTGAAACAGGCTCCTGTGTCTGCACTCAAAATTCCTAAATCAAGCAGATCCCAAATAATTATACTAAAGCAACACTATGATTCTGAATCTGAAGTGATATATCTGGTACTAATTTTATTTACAGCATAACTTCAGGGCCTTTGGGTCCTACTTGTTGCACATATTGAGGTTTCCTGCTTTGAACTATAGAGCTAGAAGACAGAAGCTTCATTTAAATGAATAAAACAATTTCTAAGAAAGAGAGACTACCTGTAATCTCATGACTTCCAAAACTAGAAAAAGCAATGTGAAAAACTTTTGAATGCTTTTGATGCTCACAGTAATAAAAATTATGCCATTTTGGAAGGTTCCTCCTCCAGAATGAACTCACAGTTGCTCGGTAACATAACTGCTCAGCCTTTCACAACCCCTTTGATCTTCAGAGGCACCAATGAGACAGGGCTGCTTCAACTCAGCAGAAAAAGATCAGGTGCAATAACCTGGGCTTCACAATGAGAAGGTGATGAGAGCAGCATAGGTGGCCATCTGCCCAGCAGAGGAATGGAATCAATCAATGCCTGGCATTTTCTCTCACCCCTTCATTTTCATACATATCTAACACTGACCTCAGCGCCCGTCTGCCACTTTCTCTTCCCAGCTCCTCTTTGTCATTCCTTGCAAGAAATTTGAACAGTTATTAAGAGATGTCAAATAGCAACAGATGCTCTGGAGCAGATTTTCCCCTGAATTTATATATTGAGGATCTCCTATTATCGATCTTGGACATTAGTCAGAAAGTATTTTAATGCCTGGTGAATACAATTAAATGTATTTTAGTGTAGCAGAGAAGACAGTGTTACCAGCTAAACCCCTTTTAGGCTGAGCTGTGCTAAACCCAACAGCCACCACAGGCCACAAATGCTCTACATCATGTTCTCCTTCTGACTTGAAAACACAGCCCAGGTGCCACTGGCATGGCCACATGTAGGCAAAGATCATTTGCCACCAGCTTTTCAAGGTGCTGCCAAGCATGCAGGTATTGCAATTTCCTACCCTGGCCATAAGATATGGCTACAATCCTGCATTTGACTATCAGGGAACATGCAAAGAAAGCTGTAAACATCAACATACAACCCAGGCTGGTTAATTATAAAGCCCAGTCTAATAAAAACTCCATCTTTGTTAAAAGGTGATTAAAAATAGACCTGCTCTTTAAATAGCCAGCGGTGTCCTGTGCCCTGGTTCTCACTAATACCATTGTAATTATCCTTCTAGGGATACACAGCATGCTCAAAGCCAAGTCAGTGCAGAGTCCTCCTGCATGTTGCCAACATGCCTGCAAAGCAGCTGTGCCATTCATCAGAAACCTGCCTCCTTGCAGAGGAGGCACTAACCTGCTTTGCTGCAATCTACGGATTTCCAGCTTTATTGCTAGAATTAGGTCACTGGCAAAGATTGCCAAGATTTTCCAAACTCTCCAGCTATTCTTGATTATTCTGTTCAGAGGTTTCCTGGCTAAGCACAATGCATTTGAAATGAAGAGGTATTTTGGACTCCTGCAAGGCTTCTGCAGTCAAACACTGAGAAGCAGAGATGCTCTCACTCCATAATCCTTAATGGCCTCTAAAACTGCCAGGCAATGGGAAAGTTCTCCAGCTCAGATCTACTGCCACCAGATCCTTCCAGCCTCTCCAGAAGAAATCAAAGGTGGTGCCCACCAGAAAACAGATTATTTAGCAAGGATCTTGGAGACCCATGCCTGCACTTGAGCCTGGCAGAACCTGAGGCAGCAGACAGCTCAACCCAGCAGGCAGCTGGAGAGTAGCCAGGGACTGGTCTCCTGCTTACAGCAGAAAAGCTCCCCAGGTCCACAGGGTGTCATGGCAGTAGAAGCACACACAGTACCTCAAAGCCCCTGTTTCTTTGCAATGCTACTGAAAGAGACCTTGGACTTTGATGCCTTCCAAATCCAAGGCAGGTTTCAAACTTGTACTTTCATTAGCCAGATGAAAAAAGCAAGCATTTGCTTCATAAGACAGACATTTGTACATCACTGAAAGAGTAAAGGATGCTATTAACTTGTTATTGGGGAAAACATATTTCCTGTTTTTAAAATAATGAGTGGGAAATTTGTCAATATCAAAAATAAATTCTTATCTGGTACCAGACGTTCTCTTTGTCATTAACATAATTTTTAAAATTACACAGGTAAGTTATAGGCACTAAGAATTTTCCCATCACATGCATCTATTTTCTGAAGCTTACCTCATGGAAGAAAATTCCTAATGAAAGTACATTCTAAGAATGTGACCATTTGACATACTTGTTTACACAAAATCTTTTATGCCAGAAGGAAAGCATGCGCTCTTCATCTAATATCTCTTCACACTGTCAAAAATATTTAAGGAGTCATCAAATATCTACTGTACCTTTCAGGTATAGAGGGCATACATCTGGAACAAGGGAAGCAGTGCATACAATTTCACCTTGTAAAATTATTTTAAATTTAACCTCAGACTTCCCAAGGAAAATGAATTACCAGCCAAGGTCATTCTTTGATGTATGTTTGGAAAAAAAGCATAGGAAGGAGAACTTGAGACATTCTAGCAGTACTTTTCCTACTGGATATAAGGAAATATATATTTTTACACAGAAAATCCAGCAATACTGTATTTCAAGAGGCTAGGAGTTGGCTAACATTAAGTGACAAATGGTTTCAACTCAAGTTACCTATACTTGTTACTTAGGAGGGGAGCAGAACATAGCTCCCAGCACACTGACAGCAGGTGAGCCATGCCCTAAACTCACATAGAGAGGTACCAGGAAAAAGAAGAGTTTTTGAAAGAAGGCAGCAGAGAGTGTGAAAACACACCTTGCCTCTGCTTAGCTGGTGTGATGTGCTAATACAAACTCTTTCTCAATACAGTTCATCCAAAGAGGAGCCAAGTTTATTGCCTAGAAAATTAAAACAATATAAACTTCAAGAGGAAAGAACAATACAAACCCCCTGCCTTGCCCTTTCCCTTGAACTGGGCACTTTCCTCATATTTTCTTTCTCTCCTGTAGGAGTGTGTGAAGGCCAAGAGATGCAAGATGGCTCAAACCTCAAACAAGGAAAAAGCATGGAGCTGGCTGCTTGGAAACAACTTCCCTGGACTGGAAGCAAGAAAAGAAATATACCTCTAAGACATTCAAATTGCTCCATTTGCCTCAGCTCAACTACAAAACTTCCAGTGCTTTCAATAAGGCTCAAAAATCATTATATTAAGCACAGGAAGCTCTACCTAGTGAACTTTGATCATCTGGAGAAGACCATTATGACCCCTGTCTGGGTCTTCAATGCCACAAATGGATAC